ATCAAATGCACGTTCGATCTCTCTTCATCAGATTCGACTACTTCGCGAGGACAGTGCCCCCGGACACGTTCCAGTCGATCGCGCTGGTGGACGTGGTGAAGAGCGCGAATTGGTCGTACGTCTCGACAGTGTACTCGGAGGGCAGCTACGGGGAATACGGTATCGAGGTGTTCACCAGGGAAGCCACCGAGCGCAACGTGTGCATCGCGGCGGCGGTGAAAGTGCCTAGCGCCGCGGACGACCGCATGTTCGACGACATCATTCAAAGACTGAGTAAGAAGCCGAACGCGAGGGCTGTGATCCTGTTCACCCGCGCGGAGGATGCCCGAGGGATCCTCGAAGCTGCCAGAAGGTGCAACATGAGCCAGCCGTTTCAGTGGCTGGCGAGCGACGGTTGGGGCCGTCAGATCAAGCTCGTCGAGGGCCTCGAGGACGAGGCCGAAGGCGCGATCACGGTGGAGCTCCAGTCGGAGAACATCCCGGGCTTCGACGAGTACATGGCCTCGTTGACCCCGGAGTCCAATCGTCGGAACCCTTGGTTCAGTGAGTACTGGGAGGAAGCATTCAGCTGCGTCCTCAGGAAGAAAGAATTTGGCGTCGTCGGGCAAACAGCGATCGGTCAAAACAGCACGGTGTGCCCTGCGAAGCTCAGATTGACCCCGGAGACGGGATACGAGCAGGAATCGAAGGTTCAATTTGTGGTAGACGCGGTGTACGCGTTCGCTCTGGCGCTGCACAATCTTCAAAGGGACGTATGCACAAAAACCGAAGGCCTCTGTGCAACGATGGCGAACTACGACCGTGGCATGTTCTATAGGAACTACCTGCTGAACGTGTCCTTCACAGGTGAGTCTGAAATTACCGCATACGTATGTACAAAAGCCACCGGCCTCGAAATTCAATATCTCGCGCGACCCCCTGTTGCCACCTCCTCGGGCTCTTCAATGCGCCAGGACATGCACGCGTATATTCGGGAATCGCGGACGTATATACCGCGCCTCTGTCCCTCACCCTCTCATCGGTAGGTTCCCTATTCCGGTATTCGCGTATTAAATTTCCCCCTGCCTCTCCCTATCCTCGCGACGGGGCAAGCAATAAACGCGCGATTCGCGCCAAGCTTTATAACGCGGGACCGATAATATCGACAAGCCCGATGGAACGATAAACGCGCCCCCGGTAGAACGAAGACATTCACACGGAAGCGGTTCCGCAGGCCGATATGAAATTTTAACGGGCCCTTGCTCGACGCTTCCCGCCACGGCTGCTTCGAGAACGACGAATACCTTGGCCGGTCATCCGGGGGCAGTTTCAAGGCTTGTTTTCAACCGGAGTACGGAATTTCGCGCTCGATCACGTTTTATCGGTGACTCACCGCGATGAATTTGCTCGCGCAATAGCGAACACGCTTTATCGCTGACGAGTATTCCGTCGATCGAAGCGCGATCGATGCAGACACGAAGGAAAGTTCTGTCGTGATAAGAAAGAAAGGTATTGACGAGCGTATTATCAATTGTCAGTATCCTGAATTTGAAATAATTTCGTTTCCTTCGATGTTATCGTACATCTTTACTTTATCGTACGTTTCATCATTGGGAGGCTTATAATAAATATTAATTCCTTTGAATTAAATTTTGATGTTTTAGATGATGATAAGAAATGAGATTTGTAACATGATGGCATTTATATTAAAAAAAAACAGTATAATGAATATAGTTCTTACTCAATTTTGATATTTTAAATGATAATAAGAAGAGAAATTTATAACACGATGGCATTTATGTTAAAAAACAGTATTTATAACGAGACGAGAGATATTAAGAAGTAGATAATCAAGAATTAAGTTAGGTTGGGTTAAGAATCGAAGAAAAAAGAGTCTATCGTACGCTATTCCACAAAATGTAAATATTTCTTTTTTTTTAGTTATTTAGTTTTTTTTTGTTATTGTTATTCAATTTATTATCTTTAATAGATTAATCTACATAAATGACTAAATAATTGTTCGTACATGTTGCTCTATGTAAGACGTATAAATTCACTCATAAATTCCAAATGATGTACATTCTCTGTATACATTCGTTTATTTGTTCGCTAAAGATATATTTTCTACTTTTGTTTATAAAGCGCACCTGGAATAAGAAACGATTCACTATAATGTACTGTTCAGATAAAAATGATCCACTATAATACGCTACTACTGAAATAGCGTAGGAATACATTATGACAAAGAAAAAGAAACAACCTTTGCACATCATCTCATTCCATTTTCCATAATAATAATCGAAAAATACAAACTAATCACACGTATAAGAAATACAATGTCCTGTTGAAAGGGATTAAAAGTTACAATAACTTAAGAGTTTTGAATATTGCAAATGTTAATTAAAAAAGGGGGATAACACGAGTTAGAATCACTTTCGTTATGACTCTAAATCTCTCTTGATCGAAATGTCAAATTCGTCTGATAACGCACTGTTGCAAATGATACAAAATGACACCAGTGTTCGAAGACGAACTCACAAAGACACATACAAGTGTCAATCACCGATTTAGACGAAATTTGGCATAAATGTAGCTTTCGAAAAAGTATTCAACACGTCCATGTGAAAACCCTCAGAGTTGCAAGTCCGGAGCATATTTTGTCAAATATCTCGGAAATTATTGGAGATACAGTTTTTGCGTAAATTGATGAGATTAATATCTTTTTAACGACGAATTTAATAGTGTATACCATTTTGCAAAGACACCATTTGTTTAAACGATATATTTAAAAAATCATCAGCGACTCGTGTATCTCTCCTCGTAAGTTTTTTTTTCGCAATCACTAGACATCTTCAATCTATCCTTTAGCCGCACGAAAGCTTGCAAGGATCGTGGAAGGAACCAGATTGAACCATTCCAGGCATTTCCCCGGAGGCCGATGCATTCCCAGATCGTACACGAAAGGAACGAATACGCCGCGCGTTCGTTCGTTCCGGCCTCGTGCCTCGATGCAGATTTTCCCGACATGCACGGACGAAACGAATTTTCGGCGTGACCAGTGAAAACACGAACCAGGGGAAGAACGAAGGGGTCGGGGGGATGATTCTAGCTGGCTCGCATTCGGAATTGATAAAAGCGCCGCGATCGCTCGCTCGTCGAGACGAAGTACGAATGACATTCAATCAGAGCTGGGCGTAACGTAATCTGATTAATGATCAAGGATATTGTGATTAATCTGCAATCAGGATATTAATCATGATTGTCGATTACCAAATAATCAGTGATTATCACGGATTAATGAATGAGGGAAGTAATCAAAATCGTTGTAATCGAGGATAGCGATTAATTTAATCATCGTAAAATGATTAATTCAATAATTTAATGAAATGTTAATAATTTTAATTATGATCGTATCGGCTAATAAATATTGATAAAAGGAATAAATTAATTATTAGGTGGCTGAAGAGTTTGCAAGGTGATTTTAAGTATCTTCGCTGTTGGAATTCTTTTAGTTTCTCTAGTCACATTGAAAATGTTTATACTTATAGATTCTATGAAACATCTACATATTTGTTAGAAACAAAAATTCATTTCTTTCTAAGTAACGAGAAACTTTCTTTTTACAAAATAAATTATTTATGCTCATTACAAAGAATCTAACGAAAACGTTTTTTCTGTATTGATAGTTAGTAAAGGGAGAATACGACACCATTTGGCCTCAAATATCTTTCAAATTGCAAATATAAAAATCACGAAAGCTGAAGTCTGTGATATTAATCCCTTTTCCAATGAAAATTATAATAAAAAGCAAATTGAAAGAATCGTTCGAGGTCGACGAAATAATAAACACACTCGTATTTCTAAGCACTTCTATTCGGAATCAAGTATTGTGGAATAAATTAGTTTTTGTTTGCTTAATTGCCCTAATTGTGAATGAATGAATATATAATTTTATTAATATGCTTGGAATGAATTACGGGCCACGTTCAGTTTAAAATTCTGATCTACATATGTCTAGATCCATTAATAAATCAAAAACCAATGTAGAAAAGAAAACTAAGAAGGGGATTGAAGAAAGAGAGAACCCGTTCAAGGTCATCGAAACCAACGACACACGAACGAATTGTTAAGAATTCGCAATTGAAAACTTACTGATATTGATTTGGACTAAATTCGGTTTTCCTCCTTTGTCTATTTAAATATAGAAGTATAATGTAATCTTTTTGGTCAATTAGAACTTGCGGTTTTGCGATTTTTGGTGAAAATTAATATCTTTCAAGAAAGAAATTAAATAAAAAAATTAATACAAAAAAAATATTACAAATTTAATTAGAATGATTTGTAGAATTTTTTTAATTTTAATACTTATTCGTGCAATGCAATATGAAGTAAATTGAGAAATCGTAATGTATAAAAAAAAAATACATTTGTAAAATTCTTTTATTCGCTAAATTAATATTGAATTTTGCGAAAAATTATTTCTTGATATTTACAATTTACACCAGATATATATTTAAAATAAAATGGAATAGAAGTTTACAACAATATTTCAAAATATTGGAAGTACGTTTTTATATCCTACATTATAGGAAAGAGGTAAACTTTTTTTTATAATGCAATTAATCAAACTTACGACTACGCATTTTTCTAGAACATTTGCTCACGCAGGTAATTTATTGCCTATAAAACTCGAACTTCCAGAAATAAATTACGATAATATCTATGAATATTCACACGGTACAATATCATGAGGATGTAATGCGCGCTTCTATTTTGTCGCTTTCCAAAAATCGAAGAAACGAGTAATTCATTTCTCTGCGAAGTGACGGCTTCCGTTACAATTAATTCACGTTTTTCAATTCACCGTACTGTCATTCTGAAATAAAGAAAAAGAGAGAGAGAGAAAAAAAGAAGAAAAAACAAAGACGAATATTACAATGGAGTAAATTTCACCGCGATTTCGTGGTTTTTTGCTAGCGCTCGTGACTTTTGGGTGACAGACAGGCATACGAGAAAAATGGGAAAAACAAGTACACAGAAAACAGAAAGTGCATATAAAGAGAGAGAGAGAGAGAAAGAGAGAGAGAGAGAGAGAGAGAGATTGGTAACATAAAAACGAGCAGAAGAGAGAAAGAGACAGACTGAAAAAAAAGTAGGAGGAAGTTGTATCACAGGGGGATCGTGCTGTATCGATCCTAAATGTGCAGTCCAAGGCCACTATTTTTTTTTTCACCCTCTCCCATTTATCAGACCGATGCGTGACGAAAGTTTATGTTAAAGATAGATCAGATCTCGAAGAGCAAAGTAAATTATCGCGTCTTGACGTTTCTTTTCGCTTGCTTTATTCTCCTTTACTTATTCGTTCGAGTCGATGAGCCGAAAAAATTAATCGTTCTCAAAAAAATATGGAACTCGAAGTGTAAATGCGTGAAAATACAAAAAGAAAAAAATCTATATTTAGTAGCATAGCAATCGATGTTTAACACTAGAACTACCAACGATTAAAGTGTAAAATCTTTGACAGAGAAATTAAAGTGCAAGGAACAAGAAAAATTTCATAATTAATATGGTAAAATGTGGAAGCTCCTATTTATATATTTTTATTAAAGATCTTTATCGAGTCTCTGAAAATATGCTGTTATAAATATATAAAATTTCAATGGGAAATTATAAATTCATCGTTTTGGATACTTTGATAGTTCTAATGTTAATTAATAACTCACTAATCGCTTGCGATTTAGATACATCGCTGATACTTTAATAATCGAATTTTCATGCACTTAAAAATATTTATGAAAATTTGTTTCATCCATTGAATATTATAATAAATACTCTGGTTTGGATATTTTATATATTTTTGCATGCAACACTCGTGCACTTCTGCATCCTC